CTCACAACCATCGGCAGCATAAAGAGCCATGATCCCCTCTACATTATAGAATTGGTTCGATTGATTCTCTCGATGACATGGGTTTAGAGGTAATGTGTAATATGGATGATTAGACATTAGCTATATGGATAATAGTAAGTAGCTGGTAACATTAAACCACATGTATCGCTGTTATTTTAGACGATATGTCGGAAATATGTTTACTACAATTAGTAGCTTTTAAGTGCTAATCAATTAATAGGGCTCATTCGGAACTGCTTCTCTAGGAAGCACTTCTGCTCATAAACACTTCTAACAAAAGCACTTTTATTATAAAGAAGTTGAAATTTTCAAAAAAAATCAAAAGTGCTTCCTTGAAAAGCATTCTACGACCCAGAAGCAGATGTTCTTGATCACATGGAAAGGGAAAACTGCCAGTTCATTAACCTGGTTATCTCATTGACAAAAAAGCGTTGAGATGAATATTCAAGAAATGGGGCTTATGTTCCATATGCTTTGTTTATGTAACGACGTTTGTACCTTTCAGGTCTCTTGGACTTCAGTTTATTCTTAAGAATAAAGTTGTTGACATTTGGTCATCTTTGTGTTATTCATACTTCGATTTAAATTGCGTTAAAGAAAATGGAAGTGAAGCTTCTTAGGAAAATTATCGATTTAGCTTCAGTTTTCGATTTGTAGAAAACCCAAAATCCTAACTATAGCTATCCAAACTCAAATTTAAGACCCTTGAAAAGAGTTCATGTTCAAGATTGTTAATTAGATGTTTTTTTGTTGATTAGAATCACACAAAGAAGATTTAGAAACTCCAGTTCAAGTTTTAAAAGATTTTTTTAAAAAGAACAAAAGAAAAAAAAATTCCATCACACAATTGATGCTTGAACCCAAAACTCCAATCTCGTTATTGTATGCGAAATTGAATGTGAATTTTTATGGTTTAAGCTTGTTGGTCATTGATATTTTCATTTAATTGGATTTTTGTTTCTCATACGCCATAATATATTTTCGTGTTTATGATCCGTTCACATCTTGGTGGGATCACGTAGTAGACATAACCCTTATCCACTCAGTTGGTATACGGCTTAACGTTTTTCTATGATTAAAGGTGCGATTGTGATAGGATTCGGATCCTCTGTTATGATTTTGTCAGTCATGATCTGCTTGACTTTCATTCTCCACATGTCATCTCATTAAAATTTAATCTAGGGGACTTAAAGGGGACACTACATTTTTTTTTATTTTAAAAAACTCAATTTTACTCCGAATTAAAAACGAAAAAAAAACAAAAAAAAACAACAAAAAAAAAAAAAAAAACCTTAACTTGACTTTCTGATAACTTACAGGAATTAAAAGTTACATGGACAAGAAATTATTGAGACTTTGGAGAAATAGACTACTCCATCTGCATCCACAATATACGTCAACACCTAAAAAGGAAAAGCCAAATAAGCGTTTGTTTTTTTTTTCTTTTCTAAGGATAAATATTATAAAAAATTTGGTATAAGTCCAAAATCGAAAACAGAATTTGGATGCATTATCTTATATATACCTAGTAAGTAGGTACATTATCTTATATTTACCTAATATTTAGGTATATTATCTTATATTGACCTAATAATTAGGTACATTATCTTATATTTACCTAATAATTAGGTATATTATCTCATATCTACCTAGAATCAGGTAAATATTTGTTGGGAAGACACATCAATTAATAATACTCCTACTTTCATTGTTTTATTTGTTCTTATGCTTGAAACCTCACAAATCAACCTTATGGATAGGTGTAGTTTTATGTTGGTGCTTGCCTAGGGGTCTTAATTTTCATTGTAAGATAAAATATGTGGGTCATTACTTTCATGACTTAAATTGTATTTTATCTATATATTAGGTAAATATTGCAATATATTTAATTGCTAAAGTATTTTACTTGACGAAACGTTTTTTCTTGGTACATATGTGTCATGGCGGTAATAGAAGGATTCAAAATTTAAAATATGAAATCCATTTAGAAGGAAAGAATTGATACATTAATTTGGATTTTCAATTAATGTTCTTTCTTTATTTACCTCAAAGGGTAAAATTGACACAAGAAAAAATTAATAAAAGTCAATAGACCCAAATCTACAGCAAAAAAGGTGTGGACTAAATCCAACGACGGCTAGAGATTTTGGACTTAGATCGAAGAACCCCTAAATATTATTCTTTCGTTAGCTTGGGTCCCCTCTCCCATATAGGCTTCCATACACTAAAACTTTTGCTCTTGCCGAGATGCAACTATTCTCTTTAGTATGTATATAAAATAAGAGGGTTGGTGAGTTGAAAAATGAGTTTAAGAATTTTTTTTTTAGTATAAGCGATAGTTTAAATTCACACATATAACTAAATATGGAAGATGTCATGGGGGTTCGAACTTGAAACCTCTGATCTGCAAGTCAATGCTATTTTCCAATGGACTAGACCTCGATGGTAGAAGATTAAGATTTTATTAAAACTATGTATGTGTTGCAAAATAGGAAAATGAGGTTGTAATATCACAACTCTAAATTTATTTGGGTGAGAGCCACGAACTTCTAAGCTATAATCATTCACCAGTTATTAATCAAGCTCAGCTAGTTGACATTTACACCCTAAACCCTAATATGTGAGGTACAATGAATAATATAGATCTATGAAATCTGGCAGGGCCCTTCATCCCATTTAGCTGGGGCAACAACAATAGCTATCGGACATTTAAAGAAGTGGAGGGAGATCGAAGACGAAAGCAGAGGGGCCAAGGGATAATAAATAATAGTAAACAGATGACTATTGCACAATCTTAGCCACTCAGATGACAGAAAAATCCCAACTGAATACCAGAATTAAGGTTCGGTTGTTTTTGTACTTTGAATCCTCAGCCTCAAGCTTTGTCATGGCCACGTGAACCAAAGTTTGTCTGAAAAAGCGATAAGGGAACAAAGGAATTAATATGGCACGCACTTCTGGTTAGCACCTAGGAAAAACAAAGCATATAGAGCCATGTCATTGAAACTCAATGACATGGTTTTAGATGTAATGTGTAATATAGATTATTAGATATTAGCTAGATAGATAATAGTAAGTAGCTAGTAACTAACATTAAACCATATTTATGTCTGTTATCTAGACTAAATGTCAGAAATATGTTTACTACAATCAGTAGCTTTTAAGTGCTAATTAGTTAATAAGCTAATATACGACAATCACTTGTTTGAATTCACTCCCCAATACTTCCCATTATCCGAACAGTTCATTTTCTTAAATCATCACGGGAAGATCATCGCTCGAAAAAACAATCCACTCAAATAGAAAAGTATTCAAGTATATCTAACTGAGACAACAGCAACAAAAAAGACACAGTAGTTTGGGTAAACCATATAATGGTAACAACAATAACCAAATGGCTACATGATTTCCGATTTGGGTGAATTTTTATAAAGATGATCTTTGAGTATGGAATTCAAACATGAATAGTTTGAATTATGAGATTAAATTATTTAGTGGGAGAAAACAAGTGGTTAGTTAACAATTACTATACTATACCTATACTATAATAATCACTTCAGATAAATGCAAAAAAGTGCTTCGAACCACTTTTTTAACAACATTAATGTAGAATATAATAAATTTTTCGTCAACGGGTTTACTCTAGTAGAAAAATATATTGAGTTACAAACAATGGTCTCAGATTCGAACTCCATGACAACTTAGTAGTGTGTATGTTAGAATGCCCATGGCACCTAGACTAATATTGCGTGCCACACACATACATGATTGTGTGCTCAGCAGAGTTGGTTTGTAAGGCTCCTAATCTTGCTCTCCAAACTAGACTACACTTGTCTTCGAGGAAGAAAATTGTTTTCAGTTTCTTTTATAATTGTTTTCATTTCTTCCATGAAGAGATTTTTGACGACAAGTGTAGTCTAGTACACATCCCGACCAACAGAATACTTGTCACATGGTGAACATTAAGAAGAAACCTCCTTGAAGCTCCAAGCAGTTGGTGTGAAAACCATCTTAATTAATTCTCTTAGGCCTTCTCCAAACCATCTTAATAATAGTGACAAGCATTGACAAAAGGGTGACTATTGCCCACAATGTGAATTAAATGTATGCGATCACAATGTGTTTTTTCTTCTTTTTGTCTAATGATACCAAAGATGTGTTACGTAGGAATATCTTCGCAAATGTAGGAATTTTTTAAGAAGTCTGGGGTAAAAAGGTGACAAGCTAGTTGTGCTCGGTAGGCATTTTGCTATAAATATGTGGGAGTCTTCTGGCAGAATTGGTACCAAGAGGAAGAGAAGTGTTATTTCAGAACGCAAAAATGAAGGTAGAGCAAGTCCTACACATGAATGGAGGAAGGAGTTGGAGAGACAAGCTATGCAAACAATTCCCTACCTCAAGTTAGTCACTCTCTCTCTCTCTCTCTCTCTCTCTCTCTCTCTCTCTCTCTCTCTCTCTCTCTCTCTCTATATATATATATATATATATATA